ATTTTTACGTTGGAAGTAGACTGATTGCATTAGGAGATGTTTTTAATAAATAAAAAAACTAACAAAATATTATATATTATATTATATACGTGCTGGGCGAAGAAAAAAGTCATAGCTCCGGAATATCCGAGAGTGGACCGGTATTGCCTCCGTCGAACAGCTGTTCCGGCTGGCTGCTGACAGAAAGGAATACAGAAAGCTAACGGCCAACCTTCAGGATTGAAGAGGCACTGGAAGAAGAAGTAGAACAAAATATGCTTTTATAGAAAATCCAACTAAAAAATAGAAAATAAATTTTAATAAATTTGAATTAAAAATAGTTAAGAAAAAATGGTTTTACTTTAAAAGTATATTTAATTGCAAAAAAAAAAAAATTTCAATTTTTTAGTTGGATTTTCTATAAAAGCGTACTTTGTTAGTTTTTTTAAACTATTATTTATTTTTCCTTTTTAGTTGAATTTAAATTTTTTCATTTTTTTTTAATATTGAATTGTTATCGGTCCTTAATAAGTATATCAAATTTCGAGTTAATCCGACGTTTTGAAGGGGGTCAAAATCATGTTCAAAGATTCCGTTACATACAATCGTCTGAAGCTAATAAAAGCGTATTAAAAAAGGTTTAATTATTTTTAAAAGATTAAAATATACCCGAGATTGAAGTCTAAGGAACTGAAGTCGTCGCGGATCACAGGGTAATAAGCCTGGGACTTTGTAACCAACGATGCGAATATGCCGACCGACTATTCAAATACCGCAGACGGATAACATTTTTTTAAATTAAATACTTAATATACTTTCACGAATTACTTCCACGATGAAGTAACAAAACATCGCGTAATCAAATTGAAACTCTCAAAAAAATTTTTTTTTCATAATTACTGATGAATTGGCGGGTCTGTTGAGCAGGTACTCGTGTAGGTATTACCATCCTGCTTCTTCCTGCCACGAAGCAGTAATGCATTCCGATTTGAAAGGTAGGAAAGACGTACTGTAAAACTGAAACTTAGAATTCATGCTTCAAGGTGAATTTCGTTATTGATGTCTATCCGTTTCGGTTACAACTTAACAACAGATGGGCCGTCAGCGTTCCCGCGTCTAATTAAAAAAAAAAAGATTGAAACCTTAAAAGGATTTTAATAATGTCCAAAATTGACACTCCACAGAATGGAGATTAATTAGTACCTACAAATAAAAAAATAGATGTGGATTGACTTTTAAGAAAACAATTATATAGATTTTCCAATAAAATTTATCCGAGTAAAAAATCTCGATAAAAAAATCCGATGAAGCGCCATCAATTTGCGCGAAACTTTTAATTGAAAGCCCTCGGCGACCCCGAAAGCTTAATCAATTGATTACAGAACCAACGATGTAAAGTTTTGATACTGACAAATTCGTTATACTGTTCGGATAATAATAAACAAAGTTATGAAATTATCCAGAAAGTTTATGTTGTTTATCTTTCGTTCTTGAAGGATTCGTGAAAAAAAAAATTGTTATTTGATATAATTGATATGGTTCATTTCAATGTTTTACGAGGACACAGAAACATTTCCAAAAATACCAACACACGGCTCAACTCGCCTTACGAAATTGACATAGACATTGTGAAGTGAAAACCCAAACTCAACTTGAGATGTTGTCTTACTAACCGCTTCAATAACATAATGAAATGAAGCCGTCGTGGCCTAACGGATAAGACGTCCGGTGTATTCGTGCTGAGCGATGCACCGGTGTTCGAATCTCAGGCGGGTACCAATTTTTCTAATGAAATACGTACTCAAGAAATGTTCACGATTGACTTCCACGGTGAAGGAATAGCATCGTGTAGTAAAAATGAAACCCGCAAAATTATAATTTGCGTAATTACTGGTGGTAGGACCTCTTGTGAGTCCGCGCGGGTAGGTACCACCACCTTGCCTATTTCTGCCGTGAAGCAGTAATGCGTTTCGGTTTGAAGGGTGAGGCAGCCTTTGTAACTATACTTGAGACCTTAAAAGATTCCTTTTTTTATTGCTAAGATTGATGGATAAGCTCACGGTTCACCCAGAGCCCATAGACATCAACCAAGTCAATTCCACCGTCGCGCATCTTAAGACATGAGTTCTAAGGCTCAGTTTTTCTTGTATAACGGCTGCCCCACACTTCAAACCAGAACGCATTACTACTTGACGGCAGAAATAAGCAAGGACGTGGTAAAATTAGCTCTTCTTCCAAACTTGAATGCAGAACTAATCGGGTTGCACAAATCGACCCGAGCTCACAATATGCGCTAACGGCAGAATATTTTCTTAATACAGAAAACATAGCGACGCTTGAAAGGCAAACGTGACTAAGCGACAATAACTGCTTTGTACATAAATAAATGATAAGCAATAACCATATTCGATGCGCAAAAAATATATATTTCTAGGTCTAATAAAATCATTTCAATCCTACAGATTCGTTAAAATAGAACTTTTTTCAGGTATTTCAACTTTAAATTAGTCTACTGTAAAGTTCACGCATTGTCGCTTAGTCACGTTTGCCTTTCAAGCGTTGATGTGCATAGTCCAAACAACACAACCAGATCAACCTTTATCTAGATTAGTACACAGACGCACAGATAAACTGGAATACGTTCACGAGCATCGTAACGGAAGCTTATATTAGTGAAACACTCACAATAAAGTCTGGAGCCGGGCTAGTCTTAAGAGAATGTTGTTCATAAAACATCCGACTATTACTTTTCGTAGGCGAAAGATCCCGACAACTATACTTGTTGTAGTCATTTACTATTTTGTGTATCGGTAAACTATAGGGAGCACTTTAGGCGCTTCGTTTATTATTTACATGATAAATTGACTTGAGGAGACTTTGTGAAAGTTTTTGTATCGCGAAATTTGTTTTTAGTATGATTGAAAAAAAGTTTAATCGTGTATGAGGGGACTTAAAAGACCTGCTTATAACGTTTGGCGATGATTATCGTTTCTAATGAAGGCTAGGTGACGCAAATTGTATTAGTCCGATGCAAATCGCTATCGTCTTGGGTAAGGTTAGGTAAGGCAATTACTATTAAAAATATCGAAATACATTAGAGATTATTTTTTCTAGTGAAAACCAAAGCCAAGTTCCCTCCTGAAATAAAATGGCCAGCCATTATTACTGCGTAACGAATGTTCTTTTTACGATCCCTCTGCCATCTGAATACCTAAAGACTGACCATCCATCACGCTTGACGAATCGCAAGAGGCGTTCCGTCAAGATATAATACGTTGCTCCGTGTCGCGGGGTCAAGCAAAACTGACATGATTTATTATGGCCACCGGAGCTTTGTTATTTTATTTTTATGGCAACAATTTATAGATTATTTTTTGATGAAACATTTTGACTGTATTCTATATGTGACGTTTAGCATATTAAAAAACTTCATCTACATTTATAATAAATAAAGTGGTTCATGATTTTTTTTATTGCTGAAGAAGGGTGGACTATCTCACGGACGGTTTAGTGTTAAGTGGAAACAAGTCTCCATAGATATTACAACATAAATCCCTTGAACAAAAACATATAAAATCGACTTAAGCTTAATTATATTGTATAATACTCGTATATACCGCTCTTCGAACTGATACATATGACTACTTCTCGCCAGAAATGAGCAGAATGCTGAAATCTACCCCTGGAACTAACAAGAAGATCTTTTATTCTATTTTTGATCTTAAATCAATTAATTTAGCACTCATTTTGAAATAAGCTGAGATCTTTATAGGATCCATGGTCCTCTACAGTCTTTGCCTTATTCACTAGATTATCTTTCCACTGGCGTCGACCAAAACACAATATCTAACAGATATTTCAATTCTACACTCTTCAAAGGGATTAGCGTTCTTCTACAAAACGTATTCCCAAATAGACTTCCAATTTCGAATGTTTGACGTCGTGGCTGAAAACTAAAACCCAATTCCGAATTAGACTCCGCCAATCAGTGCGTTGAATTCGAAGCGAATAAAAACCAGTATGCAACTACTAACGGTCGATTGTGCAATCAGTGTTCGCAAACTGAAGCACTGATTCGGTGCGGTCGTGCACGCACACTTGTGTACTGCGTTCTAATTGACTACGTTAGTAAACAAGCCCTAAACACGTCATTACGGATACTCTCGATCAATTAACGATGCTTTTAGGTACCACAAGCACCGGTCACCGTTCTCGTCGAACCCGTCGCTTGTGACAAAGGCGTCACACGTCAACGTGTGAATTAACCCACAGACACAGCCCACTGAGTTTCTCGCCGGATCTTCTCAGTGAGTCGCATTTCTGATCCGGTGGTAGATTCTGCGAAGCATTGCTCTTGCTAGGGCCAGTGTTAGCAACACTCCGGTTTGAGCCCCGTGAGCTCACCTTCACGTCAAGGAGAAGCTGACAACGCCTCTCAAGGCTATCAGCATAGGTAGGGAAAAAATAAGTAAACAAAGGTCTTGTTTAGTTAAACTGAATCTTTGAAACGACTCCCTAGTAGAGCGTTACGTTGATGTTGCCATGAATGAAATCTATAGTGACCATCTCTATAATAATATAATAAGTTGGCTGTGACCCTAACATTTCTGACATCTACGTTCGATTATCACCAATTGCACAAGATTCTCTGGGCTGTATGAACCCTTGTTTGCCTACAACATAAAAAAACTACACAGTGTCGCCAATCAGATGAATAGGAACCAACACACAAAACATTAATTGATAATTGTGAGTTTTTCGCTACAAATATTAAATTAGCATTTTCGCTGTTAATTAATGAATCGAGTATAAAATCAGGTTAAGCGTGAGCTTTATCTTCAAAAACTTAATAAAATAATCTACATACTTTTTTTATATATTATGTTTTTTTTTTTATTACAAATAAAAAGAGAGAATTATATAAGAGTTTATTTCATTGAAGTTCTGAAGTAAAGAAGCATTTTAATCAATCGATGCCCATATTATGGTGCTAATGTTTGTTTTCTTTTTTTTTGTTGCAGGGAGAAAAAGACAACGGCAAGAACATAATCTTATCTTGCGAGAAGCGGAAAGCAGATGACAGCGAAATCAACAAAGACTTAAAAAAGGTACGTATTACTGTTTCAAATTGTCTGATCTTCAATAGCTCAAAATTGTTAAGAAATCGTTTTATTGCTTGGTAATGATCTATTAATGAAAGAATTATTGAAGCAATGTGGCAAAAACCTCAACTGTAAGAATAATAATTTGAAATGTATTTGATAACAGTTCCTAACAATAACATTTAAAACCGTCACTCTATCGAGTATAAACATAACCGTTCGGTAGAAAATCCCAGTCTAATAGTTTTTTAGATATTTTTTTAAGAAAACGATCCTAACTTGGATGAACTTTTATTTAAAAAATATGAATTTAAAATATATGTCCATTGAAATTTCCCACTTATTTTTGAACTCGGTAAGATTTTCCAATTAATACGTTTATTTATACTACGCTTAGTTTATTGAAACTCAACAAATATTTCGTCCGTACTGTAAAATCGCGTTCATTTCTTAATCTTCTAAATGCTGACTCATTCAATTCAATCCAATGAAGTACATAAAAGTTTATCTTTGGTAAAAAATATAGTCATTTGAAACGTAAATGTATTAGACTCGAATCGTTTCATGAACGGTATATAATATGATTGAAATATTTATGTAATATTTCATTCTTAATTTCAATAAAATTAAGTAAATAAAGACGCATTTACGACGCATTTACGGTAGGCAGCGGCTTGGCTCTGCCCCTGGCATTGCTAAAGTCCATGGGCGACGGTAACCACTCACCATCAGGTGGGCCGTATGCTCGTCTGCCTACAAGGGCAATAAAAAAAATAAAAAAATTACGATGCATCTTTTTCGTGCCAATTGCATACACTGGATATCTAATGAATTACACTTAATAATTCAAGATAGGCAGAAAATATCACGGCTCACTTGCTTTTAAATGGCCGCAGAAGCCTACAGACTTCATAACATACCCAGGGCCCTGAAACTGCGATACTTTAAGAGAAATATTTTTTTTGTATGGAAATGTAGCGGATGCCCCTAAACTTATATGTTGTTAAAGTTAAGGCATTTAATTTATTATAAATATTTATTTGTTAAACACAAATTGATTAAATTTTATCAATTTGTAGTTTCTGAAAATTTACAAAATCCTTCATTAAAAATAAAATATAGAATAGGTAATGTGTTACTGCCTGCTATCTACAAGAGCAATGAGAAACTAATCGAAGCGAAGCCATCTAGTGGCCGACGCTCGTAAACATTTTTGTTGATTGCTTGAGTTGCTTATCTATCACCGACGCTCACCTCAAAACCTAAGGATAGAGTCTATATTAGATTGTTTGTCGTTTTGAATGGTAAGGAAGTCATTTATAACAATGCAATTAAGACTTCAATCTACATCTCGCGGTCAGCAGCGACATTTACGCTGTGGTGTATATGGGTCCCTGGTAACCACTTCATACAAAAAACCATCCCTGTAAACTAGGGAATAAATTAGAAAGTATTATTGTCTCTCACTACTAATGACGTCATATGATAGTAAAATATCACGAGCGCGAATCTTTGTATTATAAGTTCAATAAAATCTTAATTTAGCTTGTTTTTAAACGCAAATACACACCCAGATGGTTCCTATAGTACGGTTCCGCACACAAAAACATGTAGATATTGAAATGAAGACATAACTCCCTTCGGTTCGTAGTATTATTACGAGGGGTGGATGTCTGCGTGCACGCGATCCGTCGATGTGGGGCCCGTATTATGTCGAGGAGGTCGGAATAGCCACTTGCCTGCTATCGTCTCCAGTAAAAATACCTTGACCGTATTGTGTACGTACTATTAATGAAGGCAGGCGTTTTCGGTAGACAGCGGCACGGCTCTGCCCCTGGCCTTGCTGAAGTCCATGGGCGACGGTAACCACTCACCACCAAGTGGACCGTATGCTCGTCTGCTGGCAAGGGGCAATAAAAAAAAGGCAGACATGTTTCTTTTCTTTTTTCATTTCTGCTTTTTTTTAATACCAACACGAAAATTCTTTTACTCAATTTCGACTACTTTAATTTTAATTCAATTATAAATAAATGATGGTTAATTAAAAACACGCTTTGCATGTTCGAAACACAAAACTCAAATTTCCTCATAAATTTTCTAAGTAGCTCCTCCTTGCATCGATAATCCTCAATTCTGAGGGTCGTGGCCTCATGGGGTTTTCTTGGGAAAATACGCATGGTAGGTTCCCGCGTTCTACCCATGGCAGTGCTTTTGGAAGAGATTTAGTTCTTCGAGAACGCTGAAGCCTTAGTTGGATCCGGCTAATTAACCGCCGCCCGCCATTCGGCGTTGACTGTTTTACGGTGAAAGGTCGAACTCCAACTCAACTCACCTCTCTTCTCATCCGGGCCTGGGACCGGCATTGGCAGAGTTTCTAAATAACAGTCTACGCTTTATTTGTTGTGAATGTTAGTTTGTGAATATATACTTCTGTACTAATAGTATAAAGCTGAAGAGTTTGTTTGTTTGAACGCGCTAATCTCAGGAACTACTGATCCGATTCTTTCAGTGTTAGATAGCCCACTTATTGAGGAAGGCTATATAACATCACGCTAAGACCAATACAAGCGGATCACTACTAAAGAATGTATCAAAATCATTTTTTTTTTTCCTTTTGAGAGCTTCCGCTGCGTGCGCTGCAGAAACGGTTAAAGTTTCGCTAAAGTAATCTATGACAGAATTGCTCCCCTTTAAAGGATCTAAAAAAAAGTCCGCGACAGCCTATTTTTTTTATTTTTTTTTTATTGCTTAGATAGGTGGACGAGCTCACAACCCACCTGGTGTTGAGTGGTTACTGGAGCCCATAGACATCTACAATGTAAATGCGCCACCCGCTTGGAGATATAAGTTCTAAGGTCTCAGTATAGTTACAACGGCTGCCCCACCCTTCAAACCGAAACGCATTACTGCTTCACGGCAGAAATAAGCAGGGTGGTGGTACCTACGCAAATTATAATTTGCGGGTTTGATTTTTATTACACGATGTTATTCCTTCACCGTGGAAGTCAATCGTGAACATTTGTTAAGTACGTATTTCATTAGAAAAATTGGTACCCGCGATGTGCTTACAGCGCTAGAATACTTCATATTTTATTATGATTTTATCAAAATCTCTGAGATTTACTTTAAATGTAAATATTACGTATAAAATCGAATGGCCATCTATTTATTTTTGAACGTAAATTCCATAGGGGAAAAAACGTAATACAAAAAAATTAATTTGCTTTTAATCCCACGCGAATTGTGTGGATACTGAAAAGTCGAGCGATTTGTAATTAAGCTTGACTGTTCGATTTTCAATAACTGCTCCAGTGGCGGGAACTTTGTAACGACACACAAAATTGTTTTTCCATTTACATTTATGTGAATGGGATTTGAATTTTTTGTATAAGCCATAATATTTTTTTGCAATTGCAGTTGTGTACACAATAGTAGATAATCCAAGGGAAAGTTATTCAGAGAGGCCACAACCCTCAGCATTGAGAATTGACCACGCAAGGAGGACTCAATAGTAGCGCTCAATATAGTAAAAGGGAAACAAAAAGCATATTAAGATTAGATTGATTGTAGCTAGAAGATTAACTAAACAAGGTTTAATTCATTTAAGTCATTGTCTTATTTCCGACTTTTCCAATACTTTTTTCAGATACTTTTCTTAGGGTATTTGCCATTACTCATATTGAAATATTGATTTCTGCGTCATTATTTTTTAAGACTTTTTTTGCTTTATAAAGCGCAAGTCCGGCCTCGCGTGGAGTAGTGCCCTCATCTCTGGGCCGGGGCTCCCAAATACCAGCTTCTTCCGTTTGACTCCATACAGAAGAGAGCGGTTCGGATTGTCGATAATTCCATTGTCACGGATCGTTTGGATCCTCTGGGTCTGCAGAGGGACTTCGGTTCCTTCTGTATTTTGTACCGTATGTTCCATGGGGAGTGCTCTGAGGAATTGTTTGAGATGATACCATCATCTCGTTTTTACCATCGCACCGCCCGCCACCGTAGTAGAGTTCATCCACACTACCTGGAGCCACTGCGTTCATCCAGTTCAGTGCGCTTCCAGAGATCTTTTTTGCCACGTACCATCCGGCTTTGGAATGAGCTCCCCTCCACGGTGTTTCTCGAGCGCTATGACATATCCTTTTTCAAACGAGGCTTGTGGAGATTACTTAACGGTAGGCAGCGGCTTGGCTCTGCCCCTGGCATTGCTGAAGTCCATGGGCGACGGTAACCACTCACCATCAGATGGGCCGTATGCTCGTCTGCTTACACTGGCAACAAAAAAAAGTATGTACGTATTTGAAAAAGAGTAAGCCGTAGATTTCGCTTACTCCTAGGCGTTGAAATTGCGTTCCGCCTATTTGAAAACAAACCTATTTGATATTTAATCTTCATGCGACCTCTGGTATTTGTATGTCTAGTTCATTAACAAGCCAGACTAAGTTTGATCTTTAAGACCCTATATTTAAAGAAATACACTGCTCCAGACCAGATCCACTGTGACTTATGGAGAGGGCAAAAATTATAATTAGATATTGATCCCGAAATTTCAAAATTTGAAATTTTTCGTTAATTATTTGACATATGAAACAGTCTCAGAATTTTGATATATAAAACGGAATCCTATTACGGCACATCCTCCTATGTTGAATGCGAAACAATCTTCGTGGAGAATTTGTTGATGAATCTATTGAATCACTCACAATAACGCTTCAAGTGACATTTGGCTAAATAAAAGTTGGTATAAAACTACAATATATTATAGAATAATTATCGTTTCGGTGCCATTTATGAAATTTTGAATTTTATTAACGTTCAATTTATTTAAATCTACCATATTAATTCTTTAAATATATAGTATTATTATGCATGAAAATAAAAGTGAACAAACACAATTGACATTATGCTAAAATTCATAATAAAAGCATCAAAATAAACTGTTCTCGTACAATTTGAAAATATTTACAGTCATTGCTCGCCAAGCGCCGAAAAAATTTTCCACTTTATTATTTCTGGATTGATATTTGGTTCAATTGTTTTTTTTATTAGGAAACTTCGGTGGGATCCCTTTTTGTTACCTGCAAAATAATCCGTTTCGATCGAGAACTCATTGTTTTCCCGATTATTGTTTGAAGTTTTCGTGGTGAGCGGGCGTGCGTGCTCGCGTTTGATATACATAATATATTTTCGTGGGTAGAGGCCCTTATTGCAAAGCTATAAAGGTCATTTATGCAGCATTATTTAATATTAAGAATGATGAATAAAAATAACAAAATAATATAATTATAGGATAAATATTATTAATAAAACTAGGTCTTTATAAGTCGTCGTGGCCTAAAGGATAAGACGTCCGGTGAATTCGTATTGAGCGATGCACCGGTGTTCGAATCTCAGGCGGGTACCAATTTTTCTAATGAAATACGTACTTAACAATTGTTCACGATTGACTTCCACGGTGAAGGAATAACATCGTGTAATAAAAATCAAGCCCGCAAAATTATAATTTGCGTAATTACTGGTGGTAGGACCTCTTGTGAGTCCGCACGGGTAGGTACCACTACCCTGCCTATTTCTGCCGTGAAGCAGTAATGCGTTTCGGTTTGAAGGGTGGGGCAGCCGTTGTAACCATACTTGAGACCTTAGAACTTATATCTCAAGGTGGGTGCCGCATTTACGTTGAAGATACGTATGGGCTCCAGTAACCACTTAACGCCAGCTGGGCTGTAATGCTCGTCCACCCATCTAAGCAATAAAAAAAAACTGGATTCACACTGCTGTTTTCTTTTAAAAGTTCAGATGTTTTCTAATAAAATGACTACTTATGTCAGTATATTATGACAGTTTTTTTTCAATTCGATTTTAAAGGTAACGACTCTCAGAAAACTATAATACATTAAAATGAGACAAACATATTATACATCCAAAGTATTTAAGCCTATGCGAGAACGAGATGGAATACTTCTGTAGGTTTCACTTCTATGTTTTTTGGTTTACAGCTACGTAATGTGGCTTCTTCTAGAAATGGTCACAGTTCTCTGATTGAAGTTGGCGGCACTTACTTCGAACTTCAGTCATTACCACACGCCAGGAAACAATTAGAATTCTCCGTGAAAGTAGAGAGTTAAGAGCGACGCAGCTTATAAAATTATTTGAACTAGCAGACCTTGCATAAAAACCGGAAAAACACTTGTATTTTTCAAACTCACTATGCCATTATTAAAATACTAGCGACCCGCCCTCGCTTCGCTTCGGAAACATTAAAACACACATGAAACCAAAAAAAAAAAAAAAAATTTAAAAAAAGTAGCCTATGTTCATCAGGGACAATGTCGGCTTCTAATGGAAAAAGAATTTTTCAAATCGGTCCAGTAGTTTCGGAGCCTATTCGAAACAAACAAACAAACAAATCTTTCCTCTTTATAATATTATATTAGTATAGATATGCAACTCTGTTAAGAAAATCGCGCGACAAGATATTGTCAAGTAAATGATCAAAAATCACCTTAATACGTATCCAAATACGGTTTTTTTTCAACTGTGTCTTTTTCTTTGGACATGTAACCTATAATTGTTAGATGAAGTCTGTATATATAAAAATGAATTGCTGTTCGTTAGTCTCGCCAAAACTCGAGAACGGCTGGACTGATTTGGATAATTTTGGTCTTGAATTATTTGTGGAAGTCCAGAGAAGGTTTAAAAGGTAGATAAATATGAAAATGCTCGGAATTAAATAAAAATAACAATTTTGTTTTCCCTTTGATGGGTCCCCCGTCGGACGGTTTCCTTTTGTTTGTTTTATGTTTATTTTATACAAAAGTTTAGGTCTTTTATTTATCAATTGAGGCACTACGAAGTCTGCCGGGTCAGCTAGTTTCTAATAAAATTAGATTTCGGATATGTTTTCGTTTGTCAGAAAAATAACGATTTATTTTTTGTTACAGGCTAAATTAGAAACGAAGGCTTTAAAAGCAAAGAGGCCCGGCTTCACGGACGACAGATACAACGAGACATCATATTACATGGAAAATGGTATGTTCACAAATGGTCATGCTAAAAAAATATATTGTTTGCGGCAATGGTATGACGTCATTCCGAAAAAGCTTTTTCTGTTTTGTTGATCGTACTCAGAATGTCCTGATTGTACATTGTACAATTGAACCGGGTTGTAGATTGTTATTGTACGCTATTTCTACGGTTTAGCAATCACGCATTCCGTTTGGACGATTAGGAAATCCCCCTACTCTGACCGGGTTCTGATCCCTGCCGGAGATCGGACGTGGAATGCAAGGGGAATCCCTTGGTGTGTTAGGGCCCTAAAATATCCTTGAGACAGCAGTCTGCTTTCAACATCTGCGGACTCTCAAGTTCACGGGTGCCTCCTAAGCACGTACACTTCGTAGGAGGTTCAGCCTTCTTTCCGAAAAAAAGAAGGATATATACTTTAAGCTAAGGTCGGTCGTGAGCAACATTGTCTTCATGCTAAACACTAGTAAATATATAAATATCATAGTTTAAAACTCTCTTTTAAAATTTAAAGAAGAGTATTAGAGTGTGTTTTTTTTAAATATGACAAATTCTTAATACACTACTGTGTTCGTGGTTATAGACTACTGAAGATTCTAGAAAGAATTGGAATGAATAAAAATATTATTTACATTCATCTGTAATTTCTTGCTTATTTTTAAAATTACCAAATTATTCGTGTGCTGTAACAAAAAAAATATCAGATGAAATGTATTAAAAGTACTAAAAGCATAAACAATCGCCTATTTTCGGTAATTTTTTACTTAACGGTGTATTTAGATTTCCTATTCCTAAATCTTTAATACACTTAACGACGATAATGCCGTTCATTTTTCTAGTCCCATTATATGTATTACGTAAGTTGCTTAGTCATCTTGCCGCAATGGCGTTCTACATAATTTACCACTCTCGGCATGAGAACCGTTCGCTGAACGTTTGCATGCCTGTACTTCAGAACTCAATGCTACAGCGGTAGTCCTACATAGATCTACCTAAAACTTAATTTATACACTTTGAGACGCTCGTGTCCTAAAAGCGGATGAAACGTCCTGTCTATTCGTATCTAGTGCTGTGACGGCGTTCAAGCTTTCGGGCAGACTTCGATTTTTATAATCAAATACGTACCACGTAGGCATGGAAGATTTCCACCAAGAAGGATTAAGTGGTGTCATAAAAATGAAAGGTTTGTTTTTTTTAAAGTTTTTTTTTATTGCTTAGATGGGTCGACAAGCTCACAGCCCACCTGCTGTTAAGTGGTTACCGGAGCCCATAGACATCTACGACGTAAATGCCGCCACTCACCTAGAGACATGAGCTCTAAGGTCTCAGTATAGCTACAACGGCTACCCCACCCTTCAAACCGAAACGCATTACTGCTTCACGGCAGAAATAGGCAGGGTGGCTGTATCTACCCGCGCGGACTCATAAGAGGTTCTACCGGCACTAGAAAAATCTAGATTGGATCCAGATCTAGAAGAATCTAGATAGAAAGATCTACCTAAAACTTAATTGATACGCTTTGAGACACTCGTGTCATAAAAGCGGATGAAACGTCCTGTCTATTCGTATCTAGTGCTATGCCGGCGTTCAAACTCTCGGGCAGACTTCGATTCCCATGGCTTCCACGAAGAAAGATTAAGTGGTGTCATAAAAATGAAATGCGCGTTTTTTTTAAAGTTTAAATTTAGTTAAACTGGTTCGACTGTGAGCCCCTGTGATTAGTTACCTCTTAATAATTCCAGGGCGAAGCGGTCATGTGTCCTGATTTTCAGGATGAAACAGGGTTCGATTTAATGCCTCATTAGGGGGGGGAGGGCAATCATTTGATTTGTCTATGGGCTTAAAGACCGTCTATTATGATATTACTCGTATCGGGTAGATAAGAATATCAGAAAGATTTCGAACTTTAATAGGAGACGCGCCGCATGATCGAAACATCATGGTAAACGTGTCGATTTTTCCAGGTCTTAGAAAAGTCTACCCGTACTATTTCACGTTCACGACCTTCACGAAAGGGAGATGGGTCGGAGAGAAGATCCTCGATGTCTTCGCGAGAGAGTTCAGAGCGCACCCTGCAGCGGAATACGAAAGGTGCATCAGGGCCGGTACCCTCACGGTCAACTATGAGAGGGTCGACCCTGATTACAGACTCAAACACAACGACCTTCTAGCGAACGTAGTGCACAGGTACGAGGGGTTGCGATAATTCATTCCTCTGTAGTTAATACGGTATCACACACATAGAAAACTTACACACAGATACAACACACACAACAGACATAAACACCAAATGATTACGGAACAATGTAAATATATATATATGACTTTATTTTTCTTCTTTTCTTTTGTAATTCCGTGTCCACTAAGATACATTTCCGAATCTAATTTTATCACGGCTTCCGATTAAATACATTACGTGACGTCTTTAAACGTAAGCTAAGCTAAGCTTGTTTTGTTTTTAATGAAACATCTAATCGTATTTTAGTACACTGTAACAAATGTAATATTATGTTATGAAGTAATAAGCACCGAATGAGCATGCGAGTGCACTGTTTGGACGTTATCCAAAAATGACATCGCCCGGGGTTCAGCTGGCGACCGACTTGCGTCGAACTCAATTTAACGCTAGATTTTAATTGAATGATTATGGACCACGAACATGGTGACGACGAATGCTAACCGCGAACAAACTTCCACAGAGCTCTTGTGCAAATCATATAAACTAACTAGGTTTTTTTTCTATTGCTTAGACGGGTGGATGAGCTCACAGCACGCCTGGTGTTAAGTGGTTACTGGAGCCCATAGACATCCACAACGTAAATGCGCCACCCACCCTGAGATATAAGTTCTAAGGTCTCAAGTATAGTCACAACGGCTGCCCCACCCTTCAAACCGAAACGCATTACTGCTTCACGGCAGAAATAGGCAGGGCGGTGGTACCCACCCGCGCGGACTCACAACACGTTCTACCATCAGTAATAAATTCAATTTAAACCAATAGAATTCTTAATTCAAAAACTGTATCGTTCCATTAAACTACTTTAATAGAAGGGCATGATTGGACATGCGAAGAAATGTTCTTAACTAGTATCTCGCGAAACGGCTCGAACAAGAACGCTCTCAGTGTGCAAATAAACAAAAATTAGGGGCCCTAGAGGAAAAATAAGACGTTCGCTTAGTATTTATGAGCCGAGCCAAATGCAGTTGCATATTTTATCAGTTCCCGTAACAAAGTTACCACGTTATTACGGTCGTGTCGGTCGCCGGCCAAATGATTTATTATATCATCGAACGCTGATGTCCCGAGTCGTGTCACCTTATAGTTTACTAAACGGTATACATTGCCGCGTTCTCTTGTTTATATATAGCAAATAGCTCACGCATGTTCATTTGTTGTTTTCTATCATACGTCACGAGAACGAATATCACGTAACGGACTCTGAGCAAAAGCGGTGATAGTGTTGCAAGCTTCGTTCAAATTCTGAACCGCGTACATAAATGTAGATAGATTGCTCAAAGTTCGGGGAATCGGAAAGCGTGGAGCCTGACGTGTGTATCGTTTCAGGCACGAAGTACCGGTCACCAGCCAACCCATCACCCTCGTTCATATCGACGAGGACATTGTGGTTGTCAACAAACCGGCCTCTATCCCCGTAAGTGGCAATTGAGACAGCCATGTTAATATACGCTTATGCCATTAATGTCTTTGCATGCCATTTTATAACCTTCGTGCGTCGTACCTGTTTAACCTCTTTTCCTGCTCCGTATCCATATTGTAAGCTGGTTAGGTAAGGGCGCAGTTTTCGCATTAATAACGCTTCGCTCGATGTTACTCAGCTATCTCCACACATTCTTCACAACACACAAGTACCTAACTTAAGCCCGACACCTCCACCTTTATATTTCGGAACTCGGATCTTGCAATAGCTCCGTTGTTATTTTTTTACATTTAATAACTTGTCGTTTGTTAAATTAAGATCAGAGTAATGGGTTTTATCGAGAATGTGTCATTGTTAGGCTACATTACGACAATTTCCCGGCAACATTTTTCCGCTACCTATGAGACTATTCCAGCTACGCCCAGATGGGTAGGTGAGCTCACGGGTTCAACCTGAGAGAATTCGCTAACACTAGCAAGAGCCCTAGCAAAATCAGTGCTTCGCAGAATCTACCACCAGATCGGAATCGCGACCCACTGAAAAAATCCGGCGAGAAACTCAGTGGGCTAATGTGTAACAGTTATTTGTCGCGCTAAGTCCTCGCTCGCAAATCGAGACAGTTTTCATACAAAGCACTCCCTTTTATCGGGGAAACATCTAGCCTCTCTCCTCGATAAAGGCTTTGCGATATAACGAAGCACGAACTACATTCATATCGGCTTCAGAGGAATAAAGATGTGACGTACGGGTATCGATGTTTGTATTTACATGCAAAGTAGGGAGGCAAATTCTCGCACGAGAACCAGTTCCCTTTGTGCGTCCGATCAGCTGCGACGCGCTTACGATACGTAGAGGTGAGTTCGGTTAAGTCTTCCCTGGGAACGGGATCAAATGGCGTACTCAGAATACGTGTCTGAATAGTGGCGGCCGTATTCACGTGGCCTAAAGCTTCTAGAACATTTTTATCGCGAAACGAAAGAAAGATCCGACCTTATTTGATGTAACCAAATGGAATGTAATTTAAATTCTTTGGATATTTAATTCACACACAAACACATATTTACACAACTCGATTTTTTTTTATACACACGCATACACTCAAAGGCTCCCACTACGTATTTTACTAAGTCCAGTATTTAATATTAACCTTTGTTGTCTACGCCATTAAACTGTTATTAGGCAAAAGGATCATATATAAATTAAGGATAGTCTATGCCACCGGTGCTTCGACCAAAAAGTTTAAACATATGATAACATACTTCCCCATGCTTTGTCCGAAGTAATAGTATTCTCACTCTTTTTTTTTCATACCCGACTTTTCATCATTATCAGCGGCCGTCAATGATGGTCATTGGATCTAGCGTTCACCATATCGATTTACTCCACGCTCCCAAGCCCCGTCATCTGATCTTTCTAGCTTTTTTTCAGCCAATGACTATTTTATTAGATGATACTATTTCTAATGATGTAAAAGAGAAAGCGTTTTTCAGCTGTAATGCTGAATTTCATTATGTATTTTAATGAATAAATAAATCAGCTCTGTAGTACTTCTGAATGGAATTGATTGTGAAGTGAATATCAAAATGAAAAGTTTATTGATATACATAATTGCTCCTTATCGACTTGTGATTGAAGGCACTTTTTAGGCAAACAATGCTTCTGTTAGGAGACTTAGGAGATTGTGGCCATCGACCTTTCTGGTCTGAATTTCAAAGTCAAAGTTTGTGTATGACCTGCACAACCTTTTTATACGTTTAAGAAACAATCCCGGGACGCTAGTACACAAAAAATAAAGAACGGAGTAATATTTTGTTATTCTATTTATAATTGTAAAATACACAGACTTTGAAAAACACTACACATATCGCCGCGTACAATTTGAAATTAGCGTAAATAATTGAACGATTTCAAGAAAACCACGTATAAAGTTAATGCAAAAAAAAAAACCGGTTTGATTCAAACTAGGTACATATTATAATACTAGCGACCCGCCCTCGCTTCGATTCGGAAACATTAAATTTTATTATTGATAGTTAGTCCCGCGATGTTACCCGCGGTTATTGTCATACCGCGGGTGACGCCGCGGGGTGAAGCTAGTCTAAAAAAAGTAGCCTAAGTTACTCCTTATATAATCAGCTACCTGTCAGTGAAAGTCCCGTCAAAATCCGTACAGCCTTTCCAAAGATTAGCCGGAACAAACAGACAGACAGTAGTACAAAAATTGTAAAAATGTTATTTTGGTGTATGTACCGTATATATATTCATATGCCTGTAGTAAAAAGCGGTTATTTCAATATTACAAACAGACACTCCAATTTTATTTATATGTATAGATTAAACATGTGTGCCGAATCCGGGTCTTGTGAAAAATTACTAAACGAGACAGAAACGTAAACGTAGGGTAGAATGAAATAAAAGCGGGACCTCTTGTGAGTCCGCGCGGGTAGGTACCACCACCCTGCCTATTTCTGACGTGAAGCAGTAATGCGTTTCGGTTCGAAGGGTGGGGCAGCCATTGTAACTATACTTGAGACTTTAGAACATATATCTCAAGGTGGGTGGCGCATTTACGTTATGGATGTCTATGGGGTCCAGGAACCACTTAACACCAGATGGGCTATAAGCTCGTCCACCCATCTACGCAATAAAAAATTAAAAAAAAAACAGACTGTGGCTCTGCGCTATTATTATTGAATCGTAGTTGATCTAAGAACTGTGTTGTATTTTATGATCAATGTAAGCTCTAGATATATATCAAGAACATAACTTTATCGCTCGGATTTCGGTACTAAGCCTAAAATGTGGCCACGAGCGTAATAATATCGCTGGCCGCTCCCAATATATAGTTATATACATACGTACATATATTTGGTAAACACTCTTGGCAGCATTTAGGCTATACATTAACTAGTTAACGGTCGGAAGACGGTTGCGTTTCAAATCATTAGCACTTATGGCAGCGTGAGTTAATTAATAAAAACTCAACTTTTTTTTTTAAAATAACATACAAAAATGGTATTTACAAAGTGTAGGGTGACTACACTTGAAACCAGAAATTGAATCAGACTGAACGCTCAACTACTAAGTGAAGTGTTATTATAAGTTCAAATGCGCAATGGCAAAGACATCTAAAATGGATGCGCGTTCGATCGATACCATTAAGAGTGCGCATATGCTGAAATTTTTAATTTTTTTTATTACTTAGAAGCGTGGACGAGCTCCCGGCCTGGTCTTAAGTGGTTACTGAATCCCATAGATATCTTCAACGTAAATGCGCCACCCACCTTGAGATATAAGTTCTAAGGTCTCAGTATAGTTACAACGGCTGCCCCACCCTTCAAACCGAAACGCATTACTGCTTCACGGCAGAAATAGGCGAGGGACCTACCCGCGCGGACTCACAAGACGTCCTACCACCAGTAACCAGTTTTTGTTGCGTGACGTGCAATTCGTTGGTAAATAAAATGATTTAATTCCATATTTTTGTACTGTCAAAAATAAACTACATTACCTATCGTGCATTTTTGATAACGGATCCACTGTGAATAAATACATTTTTGTAAACATTTTATATAGAATGTAATAAGACAGTTCTTGATTCTATTACGAAAACTTATGTATCATAACTATGTATATGTGTTTCACTTTAATGAATATATTATAACAATACACTTATAACAATGTGCGCTTCACGGCTCTAGCCAACATCAGCCACAAAAGATAGACCGTATCGTGCATAAACTCATCTATTATCCCCGTAATAAACACATCTATTATCTTCTTCTTTTTTTTCCTACCTATTCTGGTAGCCTCGAGGGGTTATTCTAGATTCGCCGAGCTAGTAGGTGAGCTCGCGGGGCTCAAACCTGACGCCGTTGCTAACACGAACCCTAGCAAGAGCCGTGCCTCGCAAAATATACCACCGAATCGAAAACGCGACCCACTGAGAAGATCCGGCGAGAAACTCAGTGGGCTGTGTCTGTGGGTTAATTTACTCGCCGAGCCCTTCGTCTCAAGCGACGGTTTCGACGTGAACGTTGGCCGGTGCTTGGGATACCTAAAAGCACCGTTAGTGGATCGGGAGGATCCGAAATGACGTATCTATTATCGATTAGTGCGAGATGTATGGGACTTACTCCAATATCAGCTGAAAACGATATTCATTTGCTAATCCACGTATCGCTTCGTTTGTTATGGTATCAGTAGTTATAAATATTCTATGAACAGATATGAGTAGAACGGTTATTTTGATAATATCCTGAAAAGCACCCCACGTTTTTTTACAATAAAATCATTTTCTCTTACACTATTTTTAATTCAAATTTATTAAAAAAAAAATTCTATTTTTAGTTGGATTTCTATAAAAGCGTATTTTGTTAGTTTTTTTAAACTATTATTATATTTAACAATTTTTTTTTAAATATTGTATTGTCATCGGTCCTTAATAAGTATACCAAATTTCGAGTTAATCCGACGTTTTGATGGGGGTCAAAATCATGTTCAAAGATTCCGTTACATACTAACATACATACGTCTGAAGCTAATAAAAGCGTATTAAAATGTAGGATATTAAGTATATTATTATTAATAGAGATACCAATGATTTATATGTAGAGACATAATATTAACTTACTAATATATACTAAGTAATACCTCCTGAATTTATATAAATTCTTAACAGGCATACACTTAGCAAATTATTTTTAGAACGATTCAGAAATTCTTATTGTAGCGGATAGATGTCATTTCACTTAAAACACTATAACTCCGGTGTACTGGAGCAATTCAATTTCTTCGTGGTTTATGCGCGATGCGATGGCACATCCGAAGCTTTTATAGCCACAATTAGTTTGTAATGTTTATGTATCGTGGGCCAGGCATGAGACACCGGTGCTCGATAGTCCTTTGCGCATCATACACGTTGACGAAGAGCTTCTCGTGCTAGACAAGCCTTGCTCGCTGCCGGTGAGTCGATGCGTTGCTGCCTGTCCGATCTAATGTCGAACTCTGATGGATGAAGAAACGTTTTATACAATTATTAGAGCGGTTTTTTTTAATATTACCCCCGTCTAGTTTGTTAATGGAAGAAATGATAGAGAGAGAGATAAAATGACTGACACTTAAGACTCGGTTTTATCGAAAAATGAACGAAATATAGTTATTACTTTATGATTACCTCAACGTAACGTTTCAAAAAAATTAATGTTAATAATAATTGAAATTTATGCTTTATTGTATTTTTATTTTGTTCCATATAATAATTGGTTAAAAATGAAACATTTAAAACTGTTTTTTCAAATTAATACAAATATTATTTGAAAAGAACGTTTTTTACGACGATTTAGACCAGTTCTTTTTTGTTTTCGTTTTTGTTCTTGTCAGACATTGTTTTAAATATCAGCTACGTGTGAGTCATCAAAAATTTTCAAATAACGTTTTTAACAGCGCTTTAAGCCGATACATATTTTATTGTACACATTCCCGTAGCAGTTTCGAAGTCAATTTGTTGTGTAGGTTGAGTTAACGTTGAGTTAAGTACATAGTTTCGTAAAACGATTGCAGACCCGTTTTCTTTTTCCTCATTGCCCAACGAAAACAGACGGGATTGTTGAGGAAATCTCTCAAAAGCTCTCCCGACAAATCCAATAAGTAAAAGGAACAAATCTGCAAAAAAAAGATAACGTAACGTTTTTTTTTTGTTTCGCGTTTCTCTGCCGAAAGTTTCAACGTCAGAGTTTGACAAGAGATTGCCCGCAAAAACTTTTCGGGAGGCCTGTTAAAACTGCGAACAGGCTGCGAATGCGCGTTCTACACGTGAACCCCAAACGATACTGGGAGCATTACTGGAGAATTTTTCTATCCGTCATCAGTTTTTATGCTTAATTAAATAAATAAAAAAAATACTTTATCTTCGTTGTGCGTTCTATTCGTTGGACCGAATTAAGAACTGATTTTTTGCTTTGACAATTTGAACTATAGATTGAAATTTTAGTAATAGACATCCACAAATTTGACTTTTGTTTTAAAAATATGTAAATCAAAAGTCACTTACTTCATCATCAGAAAAGTAAACGACGCTTAAGTACTCAAAAACCGCTTTTGACAAGGCCAGAAGAGATCAATGTATGATATACAATTAGTTCAAATTACCATTGCATCAAAACGAATGTGTGCAACTCTACTTTCGTGGCAGAAGTGAAATTTCTTTCACAAGACACAAAGCAGAGAGACAAAGAAAGCATGCCTTTCCTCTCTTTCCTTCCCACTCATAAAAAAATGTTGCAGGTAACGTAATCTGAAAACATTTTTTGACTATTATGACTATTTTCTTCTAGATTAAATTAATTCTCATTTCAACCAAAGAAATTTCACAAGTATACATAATATTATTCAAAAAGTACATTAAAAATTATGCTGTAGTCATGTATTATTTGACGCAGACTAAATCACTTTCAGTAATCATTATGCATGTACAGAATTTAATTTTAAAAGATCTTATGAGCGGATGTTTTCTATTTGTTTATTGACCTTTTTAAACTGGGTGTGCGTTTTTGTGGAGATAAAATGCGTTTTTGTTTGTGGCTTTTATTCGTTTTTCATTATAATATCAATTTACAATACTACAAATATCATTCATAACAACATAAGGCATTTGAAAAAAACTATAACTTGATTGATTTTTGTATTTGTTTGTTTTGATATATTGCGCTGTGCTACTGTTGATTATTAAAGATCATCGAGATATATATAATATTATTTCTTCAAATTAATAATAAACATGAGTCTCAGAAATCCGTTGTGATTTAAAAACTGATTTTTACTTTACGATTAAAATTATCATTTAAAAAAAATTTAGTACATACTATTGATAATTTCCGGGAGCAATTTTCAAAATTCCTTCTTAATCTTACCGAAGACTACTATACTATTATCTATTTTTGTGCATTTTTAGTCATAAAATATACTTATTTGTGATTTAACTAAAAGACGTTCAACCCTAGGTGCATCCGTGCGGTCGCTACAGACACAATACCGTTGTTTTTATCCTCGCGAAGGAATACAACTTGAAGAACCTGAGGACCATCCACAGACTGGACAGGCTCACGTCAGGTAAACCGATTTTAACGAATTTCATAAAGGACTATCAATATTTTCCCGACAAGAGTCATACAATCTTAATTAAATTAGGGTTGAAATATTTTATGTTTTTATGTATTTTAATTATTGGTGATTCAAAGTTTTTTTTTTATTGATAACTAGACTGCATAAGAATATGAAATTAAAGCTAGAGGCAAAGGCGTCCATGCGCGCTCATACGGGCCCATGTAGCGCTCATGTGCATTAATTACCCTAGGAAGTGTAAACCATACCTCTAGGAAGTGCCTGGTTCGTTTTATTGCTTAGATGGGTGGACGAGCTCAGAGACCACCTGGTGTTAAGTGGTTACTGGAGCCCATAGACATCTACAACGTAAATGCGCTACCCACCTTGAGATATGAGTTCTAAGGTCTCAGTATAGTTACAGCGGCTGCCCCACCTTTCAAACTAAAACGCATTACTGTTTCACGGTGGAAATAGACAGGGTGGTGGTACCTACCCGTGCGGACCTACCATATATGGAATAGGTAACAGCTTCACTAAAAGGACTAAGGCTGATAAAGCCTTACTAATACTCACAAGAGGTAATACGGCTGCGCCCGTGTGCAAAGCACACTCTGCACCGCTGGCAAAGCCGCCTCTGGCCAGAGGAAGAAAAGGAGAGACTGCTCGGCTGCTAATCAGAAGATGCTCGCGTTGCCGGCTACGACACCGATAATCTGCCCAAAATAACATCAAGAACATGGTAGATCATAATCTCGGTCAAAAAGGATTGACACTATTCCGTCAGATTCTGTTCCGGAGGACTTAGTATGTTTTAATCCAAGCCAGGTCACACTCACAGATTAAAAAATGAATATGTTTCCCACAGGACTTCTTCTGTTCGGGAGGAGTCCGAAGAAAGCTAGACAGATGGAGCACCAGATTAGGAACCGACAAGTCCAGAAGGAATACGTCTGCAGGGTCGACGGAGAATTTCCTGAGTAAGTTCCTGGGAACCACAATTGATTATTTTTATTTTATTGCATAGATCAGTGAATGAGTTCACGGTCCACTTGTGCAAGACATAAGACGCTCTGACACCATCTATCAAATATATTGGTGTCGTCGTAGTCAAGTCTTAAAACTAAGATTAGGATAGGCTTAAAACTTCTGACTCAACATAAGCTTATGCTTTCGTTTCATATTCAAAAAGAGTGACATGACAATCGTCATTTGTTTGTATGAATAATAAATTGTACAATTATTTATTATCAATGATCCTAGTCCTATAACAACAACTGTGAAATGAAAACATAAATTAAACAATTATAAGAGTTAATAACAATTTAATTACATCTCATTTTTTCCCTACCTATGCTGATAACCTTGAGAGGCTATTTCAACTTCTCCTTGATGTGTAGATGAGCTCACGGGGCTCAAACCGGAGTGTTGCCAATACTGGCCCTAGCAAGAGAAGTGCTTCGCAGAATCTACCACCGGATCGAAAACGCAACCCACTGAGAAGATCTGGCGAGAAACTCAGTGAGCTGTGGTCTATGGGTTAATTTACTCGTCGAGCCCTTCATCGCAAGTGACGGGTTCGGCGAGGTCGGTGACTGGTTACATCTATAATAATATAATGCTTCTTGTCCCACACTTCAACACAATGCCTACGTCAGTAGGACCTTTTGTTTAAATAAATAGTGCAACATAGAGTAATGCTTAATTCATATACCGCTTTGTTTGTTTTTAGCGAGGAAATAGAATGTCAAGAGCCAATAGAAGTGGTCAGCTACAAAATAGGCGTGTGCAAGGTGTCTCCGAAAGGCAAGGACTGCTCGACTGTGTTCAAGCGACTTGGATTCAATCAGGCGAACAACACTAGCGTGGTGCTCTGCCGCCCGAAGACCGGTAGAATGCACCAGATCAGAGTTCACCTGCAGTACCTAGGTAAGCGACTTAATAACCTTCATTAAATATTTAAGTCGGACATGGAATATTGTTGAAAAAGAAAACAATTTTTAATTATACCGTAATAAGGATCTCAATAAACAATCTGTAGCAATTTTATTTGTTTACCCTCAAATTTTGTTGTTCCAAATATAGTTTCTATTAATAAAAATTAAATAAATTCAAGATACAAATCAAACAGTTAAATATAACGGACCTAAAAATGACACTGAGACAAATCGATGAAACTTCCGCACTTGACCGAATCACAAAATGTAAGAGAGACGAACCATTTCCGCATTCTCTTTTTTAATTCGCGACGAACTACCCGCATAAAAAAATCCAAAGATATTATTTCTGACGTTTCGGATACTTTCCAGTTTTCTATTCGACAGTTATTCGTATCATTTTCGGAAATGAAATCTGAACACACTGTAGAACATAAATATTACGATTTAGCTTGCTACATGACTTTGACCCCTCATAGCTAATCCTTGTTTACGTTACGCATTGTTTTAAATAAATATATTTTATTTTTATTGGCCGTGTAAGCAGACGAGCATAGAGGAGTGACAAGAAAGGACAAGATAAGGAATGAGTATATCAGAGGAAGTGTGAAAGTGGCCCCGGTGATTGACAAATTAATGAGCAGACGCTAGCGTGGTATGGACATGTGATGCGTAGAGAGGAGATGCACGTGACTAGGAGATGTATGGAAATGGTAGTACAAGGTAGAGGGGGAAGAGGTCGACCGAAGAAAACATTGATGGAGTGTGTGAATGACGATATGAGAGAGAGAGAGGGAGGAGTGAGTGTTGAGGTGACGGCTGATAGAACAGAATGCAATAGAAAAATTTGCTGTGCCGATCCCATCTAGTGCTATAAGGTGGATACAAAGAATAAGACGAAGAGTCAGACAAGCATACAGCCCACCTGGTGGTGAGTGGTTACCGTCGCCCATGGACGTCAGCAATGCGAGGGGCAGAGCCAAGCCGCTGCCTACCGATATATAGAACCGCATTATCCAATACGACATTTAAAGTATTTTCTATTTCTTTGGTGCAGGTTACCCGGTAGTAAACGATCCCCTGTACAACCACCCTGTGTTCGGTCCACTGCGCGGTAAGGGCGGCGACACCGGCGGCAAAACTGACGAGCAACTAGTCCGGGATCTGATCGCCATCCACAACGCCGAGAACTGGCTCGGTGTTGATGCTGCTGATGACGATTTGCTGTTCTCGAAGCCGGCGCCCGATGATAAAGGTAATTGTGATATCGGATATTCATACATGAGCTATCCGAGAAACTTCCTTGTGCGTACCTTAATTTGGTTTATCAAATTTTCGTTGGATTTAATTATCGATCGTGCCGACTGAAGTTAGCTTATCATGCATGTGTAGTAAGGTTGCAATGTATCAAGCCATTATGAAGTCAGACAGTCGCACATAACTCGTCAAACAATACAGTCGATTTCTATATTGTATAAGAATCTCGTAAATCAATGCTCAGCAATTTTAGCGTATCGAATAATAAATAAATAAATAGCGCATATGAGGCCTATAAAATCAAAGGCAGCTAAATCCAAGTCTGTCAAATATTCAGGTAAACTACAAAATCGGCCCTAAACACGTAATTACGGATCCTCCCGATCCATCGAAGTAGCTCTTGCTAGGGCCAGTGATAGCAACACTCCCGGTTTGAGAAACTGAAATAACTTTGTTCGGTTTATTTTAAAGCAGATTTATAAAGAATGAGAATATTGTTAATAATCTGAATTTTAAATGATAAAACTTCGTTTAATAGTCCTTAGTACAGAGTAAAAATGAAATTTTTGAACTGAATTTGTTAGAGATTTAGCTGCATTTGTTATAACATGAAAACACTAAAGCGTGTCCAACTAACTAAACAAGATAGCGCCATTGTTAATCCATTTTACGACATTAAGGCGTTTGGCTGCCTTTGATTTTATAGGCCTCATATCTTAACTAGCCTTTGTCTGAACTTACTCTGACATACAAAATAATAATTACCATAAAACAACAATACGCTAAATCGAATAAAATCGATACGCTATTAAATTGTCCAATGTTGAAATTTTTTTATGAATCTCTTGCAGCATATAGAAATGTAATTTTAGACTATTTTGCAAGATCAATACGACCGGTATTTATTAGTATAAGATTGTTTTTTGTTTATTTATTGTTGTATCTTATTACCTTCTTGTTACTTCCTGTTAACTTCAATTTATTAATGTATTTTAGTAAATATTCAATTTATTATTTCTCTGTTCACTTTCTACTCATGTGCAATGATAACGGTGGTTAGCTTAGTTTTTGTTTACCTGTTATTAATATACTCTATGGATTTTAGGTTTCCCAAATAAATAATAAATATATAAAAAAATATTTTCGTCTACTTTGTATAGGTATTTTTTTAATCTCATTAATTTTGTCACTGAAAGATATTCCGATATAAATTTCTTGGCTGTGCTGACAAAAATTCCTATATCCTCGCATACCTCATGATATTATTATCAAATAAATTCTTATGGAGAAACTCCGGCGGGAGTTTTAGAGCCCCGTAGTAGTATTGTCATCTTTGACACGTTTAGTAAAATCATGTAGGTACTAATTGAATAAGTTGCACCAACAAAATGAATACGATTTAATAATTAAATTACCATACACAAGACAAGGTCAACACAGTTCACAATCAACAGTACAAATAGGTAATTGTTTTTAAGTTTATTTAATAAAAAAACACGTGTGGCACTCGGTGACTGCCGCGGTAAAGCTATTGCATAGAATTTTTTATCAACTTATGAAATTATAATTAGACAATAATAAAATAAGACCACCCTATATTTATAAACATTAACAAAAGCAAAACATTAAACTTTCCCCTTCACACTCATAAGCTAGACCGCGTGAAAGAGAGATGGGCAGACTTTTCATGATGCGCATGCAGTGCGACGTCACGCCGCGCGCTTATTCACAAACACTATACAAGCGCAACGTGTGAATGTGTTGAACGCGAGCTATATGGTAGGCGGAGTTGGGGGTGTTATGTCTTGTTTTCGTTACGGAATTTCTTGATTCGGTCGCCGCGCTCAAAGCCCACGATAAAAGCAATGCAATAGCTTGAAAAAAACTGACTTATTTAATTAATTAAACTCAACAATGTGACCACGTCGACCACGTCATTTCGTAAATTTATGTTTTTGGAGACAGTCCCCAATTAGCCAAATAAATCGTTGCACTTACAAAAAAATACATACTGTCGAACAAAGAACTCTCTCTTTTGAAGTCAGTTGAAAAACCTGAATACGCATAAATTAAAAAATTACATGTGTGCAATTCACACGTGGTAGAAGTGAAACCTTCCCAAATTAAAATACAATTATCCTAAACGTCTTAAGTATATGTAAAATTTTGTCATTAGTAAATAATTGTAAGGTAGCGCCCTTGAATGATATTTTAATTTCACGTATAATCCTAAATTAAAATTCACTACAAGAGCTTTCATACACACGTTAGTATTAAAAAATCTCACAGATGGTGCTGTATTAAATAGTATGTATATTTCTGTCTCATTCTTTGCTGGCTTCATCCTACACATTTTTGTATTTGTGTCTCTTACCTGTCGTTTTTTCCGTTGCATCCGGTTTGAAATCACAANACTACAAGAGCTTTCATACACACGTTAGTATTAAAAAATCTCACAGATGGTGCTGTATTAAATAGTATGTATATTTCTGTCTCATTCTTTGCTGGCTTCATCCTACACATTTTTGTATTTGTGTCTCTTACCTGTCGTTTTTTCCGTTGCATCCGGTTTGAAATCACAACGATTCTAAAGAAGTTTTCACTTCAAAAATGCACATCAATAAATAAGCAATTACTTATACTTCATAAAGTTTTATTCAATAATAATTCAGCCTAGATAACATACATCAATCAAATCCTTGCAATCTGTCGTCTAATTGGAAAATTTAATTATGACCAAATCGTTTCGTTTTACAGTCCAAATTCCTTCTTTGAAATCACTGTGAATCTCATGAACGTTAACCAAAAACACTTAATTTATTATTTAAAACAGTTGGCGAAGACGACTGCGACACAGGACCCGCTTCCAGGGAGTCTTCACCGAGATTAGATTCGCCAGCGCCCGGAGTGACAGCCTCTACCGTCATGACTCGTGTGTATACATTAACATTAATGCAATTATACATTAATTCGCTCAATACATTCGCTCTTAACACTTTCGGCCAATTTACTTAAACTTACGGGACTAATAAAAATAAATAAAATTTTTTTTGAAGCGTAACGCAATGTACAGCAAAATGATTTTTTACTTGAGATAGCAATGTACAGCATAAAATAGGTTTTTAATTAGCAATGTCGTGTTACAGCAACTCTAGCGAGTCCGTCGAGCGGCGCTGAGGCCCCGGCGGAGGAGTCACCTCGCGCGCCACCCTCTCCCACCCCCCTCGCGACGCTCCCTATCAATGAAGACTCTAACGATGCCAAGGTCAGTGTGTTTAATTTAAGTCAGCTCACAGGGGAACCGCTTCTGAACATGGAAGGAACACGAATAGTTTTGAAGTGAAACTTCTAATGCGACTTCTAACAAAGTTGCGTTAAACGCTTAACGCTACCTTGGAATAGAAAGAGACAGAGCGAGAGTAAATGCGTGGCGCTCGAACGCACGCGCGTAGTATAATATTATACCTGTTACAGGCCAGCGCGTTGCCCGCTGAGTTTCTCGCCGGATCTTCTCAGCGGGTCGCGATTCCGATCCGGTAGTAGATTCATTCGCGAAACAATTGCTCTTGAGTTGTTAGGTCTCCTTCGGAGGCGCTCGGGCAGTTGTTAGCAAATCCCACCCCTCTTGGCTGAGCCTTTGCTCGCCCACCTGTCCTGGTGAAACTGGAAAGGCCTTCGGGCCACCAGTAAANCGATCCGGTAGTAGATTCATTCGCGAAACAATTGCTCTTGAGTTGTTAGGTCTCCTTCGGAGGCGCTCGGGCAGTTGTTAGCAAATCCCACCCCTCTTGGCTGAGCCTTTGCTCGCCCACCTGTCCTGGTGAAACTGGAAAGGCCTTCGGGCCACCAGTAAACTTTCAATCATAAAAAAAATAAAAATAAAAAAAAATAAAAAAAAAGGCCAGCGCGAACGCTGGCAAAGCATTTAAAATAATATACATATTTATTTTTCTATCTATAATTTAACATATATATAATATAAATGTAGAAGATGTCGCATCTCTCATACACAGCATTTCCTATTACAAGAGCAATCTTATTTAAGGATTAAAAATGAAGAAAACTATAATACTACACATCGCAAAAGAAGTTTCACTTCATTCACGTGCACCAAATTGCACGCGCACCGTTTTTTTACAATAATACAAAATAATACAATCAAAAATCAACAGGCACTGGAGAATGTCTCGACCAATTCGACTAGTTCCTTTTTATTTTGTTCATAATTTACTTGAAAAGATTTACACTAACGAAAATTTTAGAAAAAGTCAACAGTTTTGGAGTGTGTTTATGGAAAAAGTAATGTTCACATTACGTAATATCAAAATTTCAATTAACTTTTTATAAGGCAAAGCTTGAGAGTTCTACTATGAATATTAATTGATAGGACAAATACTATCGGGTCAGCTGGTGGGAAATGATATATATTTGCTATATCAACGTAAAATTCAGTTCAGCTTAAATAGATCTGGAGAGGGCAGTCTAAAGCTTACTAATAAATACGAAGCTAAAAATCGTAATTAATTTTTTTTTTTTATCATTACGTATGATGCCATTACATTGCTGTTTAGCTCTATGCAAAAATATTGTCAATATTAATTTAATTTTAATAGGTGATTTAAAAGTAAATTCATAGATTTGTTGAGTCTCTATATCGGGCAAGGATTAATAAGACACGTGTTTATTTAAATGAATAAAGTATATTGAGATTACAAACTAACGTGCTATCGACAGCCCGACAATGCCGAGACTGACGTAGCATCACTGCAATATAATTATCGCTAACACATACATATTAATAGTTGCTATGGGGATATTTGTGGTCCCTACAGATTTAATAATGGTCTTGGTGTGTTCAACAAAACTGATTTAAATTTACAAGAAAAATTATAATCTTGTTAAAATGAAACTTTTATTACATCGTCTCAAACTTTTTCGTCTGTGTGTTGCATGTCGCGTGACAGTCGGCCGCGGAGTAGGGATAAAGTGAAAGGCGCTCGTCAGAGTAGCCAAGGCCAATATGGCGACGCCTATAGTTCGCAGCAGCTGACCGTGTAGTATATAGACTATTACTCATTTATGTCAATGCTCCACGCTATTTTGTTTGTTTTGTCAGTGTTTAATGTAAAGTTTCACTTTTACCGTGGTTTCATAAAGCCACACAATCCTTTTTTTATGTCTATGGACTCCGGTAAACACATAAGCCAAGTGAGCCGTAAACTCGTCCATCTAACGACCAATAAGAAAAGAGTACTACTAAACATAGCCGTGCTTTGTAACAGTCAGACAAGGTGACGGTGGCGACGCAGACGGGCTGCGCGGAGACCGCAACGAGCGCGGCGGGCGCGGCTGAGGTCATCGACCCGCACTGCTACGAGTGCCGCGTGCGGTACCGCGACCCGCGCCCGCGCGACCTCGTCATGTACCTACACGCCTGGAAGTACAAGGTACCCGCATTTTTTGTTTACTAACCCTTTGACTGCCATGTAGGTAACCGGTGCCCTGCGTGACGCATTTCCCGATCTATTAACGGTGCTTTTAGGCACCACAAGCACCGGCCACCGTGCTCGTCGAACCCGCTTGCGACGAAGGACTCGACGAGCGAATTAAATAATTAATTAATTAATTAATTGTGCACAATCGGCTCAAGGGTTGGCTTGTTACACATTTATCTATCGCGTGACATTAGAGCTAGCAGTTCGAATAGTTCTGCTACTGACATTATCACATAAAACTATCGTCCGTAAACCGACTTTACGGAAACCATTTTTTTTTCTTTTTTTTTAACCGTTCGTCTACGTTTAACCTTTTAACCGCCACGTAGGCCACCGGTGCCCTACGCGGCGTACTGAAGTATCGATCGAAATATCGATTTCTGTTACTAAGGCGCCGGAACATCTAATAAACTCTGAGAAAGACGAATTCGAAGATACTGAGAATGAATCTATTTCTAAGAGACTTAAGAGACTAAAACATAAATTAACGAACAAATGAAGACAAAGTTAGGCAATGCAGGCGCTTAGTAACAGAAATTGACTTAAGTAGTTCAGTGCGTCACGCTTTTTTTGGAGTTTACTCCTTTAGAATCGATTTACATATATAGGCCCGGGGTATGAAAATTATGGGGACCAAAATCGTACTAGCATGTCACACGAAATGCGTTATGCGCCTGATTGGCTCCTGATTGCGTGATGCGTGCGCGCGCCAATCAGGAGCCAACGCGCGGCCGCGTTATCGCAGGTGACGCCGGGCTGCTGCGCCGGCAGTCCGCCACAAAGCCTCGTACTGATCGCGCGTTTCTCTCATTATTGTATTTTCATATATTTGTTAGTCGTTTGTTTTGTGTCTCGTTAATTTGTTAATAATCTGTAGTGTATCGTGTTGTCGTAATATAGAACTATTTCTCGTATTGTTTCGTTTAATTTTTTATATCCAGTAAACTCCAGTCGTGCGTCGGAGCGGACACACACACTTTTTTTTTTCTCCTACATATGCTGATAGCCTTGAGAGGCTATTTCAGCTTCACCCTAACGTGTGTAGGTGAGCTCACGGGGCTCAAACCGGAGTGTTGCTAACACTGGCCCTAGCAAGAGCAGTGCTTCGCAGAATGTACCACCGGATCGGAAACGCGACCCACTGAGAAGATCCGGCGAGAAACTCAGTGGGCTGTGTCTATGGGTTAAAATTGTTGTTACCGCTTGGCATGTTATATGGCATGTTTATATGAAACTTTATTGGAATCCCGTCGCCAGGGCCCGGGCTGGGAGTACGAGACGGAGCTGCCGCAGTGGGCGAGCCTAGACTGGGACGAGCCGGAGAACTCATAGTCCCGCGCCGCGACGCCGCCCCCTCCACATCTCTAGACCATTCAAATGAACTTCAAGACCAAATTGTAAACATTATAATTATAGGACTTCCGTATGTAGTAGCTTATATATAGATATTGATGGTGAATTAACAATTAAGATTTTTTGTTTGTTTGTTAAAAACATTGTATCTGATCGTGTTGAAGTTTAAATTTAAAAAAAAGGTCGATAATCTAAACTCACCGGTGTCATTTCAGCATTCCGCTGAGTTAAATTGAAAAGTGAGGTTTTTAGTGTAAGAAAAAAACACATTTTCACTGATGCCTTTGTTTGAAAAACATTTTTGTGTTAAAATTGTTTTTTCGTTTTATTTTTTTTATTTTTATGTATACATATATTACGACTCGCAACTTGTTGGAGATCGGGTATTAGAGAAATCTAATCTTACAATTTCGATTTTGTAACGTCGTCTCTGCCGCACAACGGAAAATTTCTCGTGCGCGACAGAGATGAAGCTCTACAGATCTGGAATTTTCGACTTTGGTTGCAGCCGAAAACTTCTTAAACTAATATTTGGATTGGATTTCAGTTCCTATTGGCTTAGAATAATTCTCAGTTCGTTTCGAAACATAATTATTATACGGAGGGGTAAAATTTAGCGTGTTTTTTTTTAATGGTCAATACTATTAAAAATATATCGATCATTCTACTGAGGCAGGGTTATTATTGGTATCACACGTCAAATTAAAGTGAAAAGGTTTTCAGATTTCTCACGATTAGCTATTCAGAGAGTAAAAAGTAAATTCGATTTATACATATTAACCGTTTTAGTATGTGCTGTGCTTAATACACGTGTATTTTATTACCAAAAATCAAATAAAAACAACGCGAAATTACTAATTTGTATAGGACGCTAAATCTGGGTAAAATTAGGGTGTCCATGATAATATGCGGAACATAATTTAAAAGTGCGATTTAAAATAAATGATTATTGAGAAAAAAAAAACAATTCTAAATTCTGAATTCTCATTTCGAACATAGTACCTTACTTACTTACATATTGTCTCTGAATAATTTTTTCAAAGTAAATGTTAAAATTGAAAATACTTTTTTTCTTCTTTACATACATATTATTATGTAATCGTTATGTCGATACTGTCTCCCAATTAAGTCAATTCTCGATCAACAAAAGATCGATGTTTAAGAATAGACATTTTCGCTAATTTCTATCAATAAATCTTATTAATTATTGTAATAGTAATGATAATTTGCTTCAATCACCGTATAATATCTTTATATCTTTACTGTCCTCCCGAACTTCTAATCCTAATCATTAGAGCACGTCCTTATGTTTCAGTTACTGAAATATCGATAAGTCGAAATTCGATAATTAATTTAAAATATATTTTCTCCCTTTTAACATTTTTATTGGACGGCTCGTGACCGCGTTATTCAACTTAATTGAGTTTCCGATATTTCAGCGCCATATTTCCTCGTGAACAAGTAGAGCCATTAACGAACACATTACGGTTTTCTAAAATACGTATAATATGTAGTTATTAGTTGAATTATATTCGAATTTTATACCATAACTATTCGCAGTATTGCAGGAAAACTATCTATTAGATTTAATGATTTTTATTTTATAGTGTAACTGATGCGTGTTTTTGAAAAGAATTACAGAATGAGAAGACCCATTCTTGCTTAGAGTACATCTAATTTCGTATCGAATTAAAGAATACATATGTATGTTACCATTTACCTCCCTAAGGTCTGTCGATGTTGAAGACGATACAAAAACGATTCATCACAAGCATTGTTTTTCGATATTATTTTAGAAATTATGCGTAAAATTATGGACACCCAAGTTTTCCGCGCGTTCAATAAAGTAACAAGCGTAAAGTAATTCTGGAAAAAGATAGATGTTATAATTTGACCTTTGCTTTTTGTTTGATAGTTTATTTAAATAAATCTTTCATGTTTTATATCTGTTTTTTTTTGTCGATAATTTTGATTAGGTATTTTTATTGTTTTGTATTTTTGGTAATAAAATATAGTTGGCAACACAAAAAAACGAATGTAAAGAAATTCGAAACAACAAAATTCAAATGTACGCGAGTTTGAAACTTGAAAATATAATTACAATAATTAGTTTCCGAAAAAACAATTAAAATAAAATAAATTTAGTTTCATGTTTACTAATCTTAACGAGATGCATTTATTTTGTTTCGATATTCACATAAAAGACACGACGAAGCGACGACTTCGTTTAACTTCTGACAATGTCAAACGCGTTAACCACGGCATTGCCAATTGTCACGGGATAATATACATATATATACAAATACGTTGGACTGCTGTCTGCTTACAAAAGCTAAGTTTAAATCGTTTTTAATTCTGTCATTTGACTACAATAAGATCGCCCAAGCAGCAGAATCTAAAGACATTTTATTCTTTCTTAAGTTTTGAGTGTGTAGGATTAAGTTTACAAATAAAAAAATATTGTTGTTTTTTGTTATTCTTCGTTAGCTGCTAACGAGACGCCGGCACGTCGACCCTGTAAACTTTATAGTATTAAAAACGTAAAAGACAACATGATCTGTGACAGTTTCCAAGAGCTTTCAAATTAGTTTCATAATATATTTAGTACATACATAACATTGTTATGATATTATATATATATATTATATTATATAAACATATACATATTTTTCTTACTTGTAGCTTAGTGTAGTAGACAATTATTGCTTGATTAGTATCATGTTTTGTAATTGAAATGTGAATTTCGAAAAAATTCACATTTTATATAGATTGTTTTTTCTTTTCTTTCGCCGATACTATATGTCGCTGTTAGTTGTTACTATATTAATAAAAATAAAAATAATAATAATAATAATATTTATTAAGATTTTTGACTATTTACATGACTTTAATTGAAATGTAAAAATAACAGATGGACGTGTATAATTTACATTATACTTTTTATAGGTTCAGTCGAGATATCATCATAATTTGGGAACAAAATTACGTAATTAAATGAAGAAGAAACAAAAAAACATTTCAAACACCAAACCGAAATCTCTTTTACACATCCGAAAATGTTATACCTACATAATATTAAAATGAATGTTAACAAATGTTAGTTACGTAGTTGGTGTAAAGTATAACAGTGGCATATCAGAACCACGGAAATTCTTTGGTCGGGTTCGATGCGATTTCGTACATTACGGTGAAAGAATGTTGTATTTTTATATAGTTAGTAAGGTAATTGTTCGTAACGTGTGTCAGAATGTGTCCTACCTGATAGTGAGCGCGAGTCACGGCTCTCCTGAAACTCTGGCCGAATCTATGAGGTTCAATCGAGAACAACAATCTTAAGTTCCACACGTAAGGTATGTTAGTCTGGCGTAAATAAAATTATATTTAAACCCGCGAAACGTTTTGTCTGTTTGTGTTGATTGATAAATAAAGGGAATCAAAGCGATTTTACAAAAAAAAAAACGTATGGCACTCGGGGGATTGCCGCGGTAAAGCTATTGCATAGCATTTTTTATCAACTTATGCAATTATAATTAGACAATGATAATTTAATATTAAAACAATAATAAAACAAGACCACGCTATATTAATAAAACATTAATATAAGCAAAACTTTAACTGTCCCCTTCACACTCATAAGCTAGACCGCGCGAGAGAGAGATGAGCAGAATTTTCATGATGCGCATGCAGTGAGACGTCACGCTACGCGCTTATTCACAGACACTATACAAGCGCAACGTGTGAATGTGTTGAACGCGAGCTACATAGTAGGCGGAGTGAGGGGTGTAAGGTTCTTTTCGTTACGGAATTTCATGATTCGGTCGCCGCGCTCAAGGCCCGCGGTAAAATCTATGCAATAGCTCAAAAAATGTGAAGTCTAAGGAGTAAGGTCACTTCGATGCTGAACCAAAAAGCAAGTTAAAGGACATATTTATCGCCTTAATTCCTTTTATTGTATAGAATATTCAATTTTCGTATGCTTTTTTTTGTGTTTCAAATACGGCGACCGTGGCCTCCAATCAATAACGATAGCTTTGACAGATAGCAATAGGCGATTACAGTACCGTCTTATAATAACTGACTATTCAACTTCTTGCATTTTCACTAATTCCATTAGATTCAAATATATAATGATTAATGTCTAAATAAAACAATATGGCCGCCGTACATCGCCCTATCAAAATTCATTTATGTATAAGATTGAAAAAAAAAGATCATGTGCCTTCACAGAACGTAAAATGATGGAGAAATTGAATAACGATTGAAATGTTGAGATTTCGTTACATTTAAAATTTGTTAAAATGTTTGTAAAGTTAGGTAGTGATTGTCTGACGGAGCTTTGTAACAGTAAGCGGGGTTAGAAAAGCATTTCTATAGTTTTACCGTTCATACATGTAATGATTATTTATTATACATATAATATTTTTGGAAATATGAAGTGAAAAATTACCGTCTACCCGAATTTTAATAATAAATTGCAGTAAAGAACCAAGGATTTTCGAATTTATATGTATTATATGACACACAAAAAATATTTAAAACAAAATATAAACACAAGGAAAAAAATGTGATTATTTTATTGCAGACATTTGAAGGTTGTAGCAAGTCAAATTAAGATGCGAGTTTTCTCCGGTTTTCGTGAAATATAATTAAAGGTGGAATTGATAAAGATGGATTTAATCTCGCTTTTTTTACTGCCGACCACTGTCGTCTGTTTTTTGTTCCCCTAGTCTAAGAGGCCGGTAGTCTAAGAGGCTATTCCAGCTCCGCCCGGGCGGATAGGTGAGCTCACGGGCTCAACCTGAGAGAATTTAATTCGCTAAATCTAACACCGGATCGGAATCGCGACCCACAGAGAACATCCGGCGAAAAACTCAGTGGGCTTATCGTTCGTGAAAAAACTCTGACGTATTGATAACATTAAAACACAGATCATCCCAACACAGATTATCTGTGCATTAAAATTAATATATGGACAATAAAAACACGAGATTAAACCATAATAGTTATCTTAATTAAGATATTAGTTGTTCGGAATCATATAATAGAAAAAAACAAATGTCATTTTACAATAATATATCTACAAAAATATATATTTTAAATTTTTCTAACCTCGCTCCACAGAGCTCTAATTAGGCAAACAATGACAAGTCGCTTTTAAAAAAAAATGCATTGTTTTTTAAAGTAAAAATTGTTTTTGTTTTTTTTTATACTAATAAGTGTTCGGATTGTGAATACCGTATTTTAGTGCCATAAATGGCTTGTTTTTATTGCTTCAAGGCCTGTATTGATGACGCGCGACTGCTGAAATAAAATGTAACAAGGAACCGGCTCCAAATGGTAATTGTTTTTTTTTTTAATCAGTTTTCTAGGCGAAGGAATCAAAGATAAACGTCACCAATATCACCGTTGTTAGTGAGTTGGCATCAATGGTGACAGCTGTCTTTAAGTGCTTACTCTTCTGTCAGAGTTAAACAAGAAAAATAACCATGATTTAACACCAACAATAGTAAAAGAATTTACATTGAAAAAGTCGTGATTCCTAACAAGTCGCGTGCGCTTATGTCACTCCGACTTTTCAGTCGCAATCGCATGACACAATATGAATAGAGGCCTTAAGCTAGAACATCAAAACATATTTTGTTTTGTTCAAATTTCGTTGTCGTTTCAAAACACATATGATTTGAAATTATACGATGTAATTGTTTTATTTAATAAGGTTCTATATTATATCATATAATTAAGAATATGGTAGTGTTTCCTTCTTTAGATCCATGTTAAAATAATTCATGTTTCCACTTATATTTAATTAATGAATTAGAATAAAAATTCATCATTGGATTCTGTTTGTTTTATTTGATTTTAAGTGCGTTGGCAAAAAACTG